ATGCCAGCCAGCCCTGCCCCCTGGTGGGCTGAGCTGGCCACACACACACACACACACACACACACACACAAATAAATAAAATTTAAAAAAAAAAAAAAAAAAAAGAAGTAGAACCAAAACAAAAACCTGACTATAAATCCCATTCTCTTTTAAAATACTGTTGTTTGCAGGGTGTAGTGGCAAATGCCTGTAATCCCCACACTCAGGAGTTTAAAGCCAGCCTGAGCTATACAGTCAGATCCTATCTCAAAAAGTATATACATACATACATACATACATATTATTGTTTGGCTGAGCACAATGGCACATGCCTATAGTCTTAGCTACTTGGAAAGGTAAGGCAAAAGTATTGCTTGATCTCAGAAGTTCCATCCTGAGCAACACAGACAGACTCAGGCACAAAAACAGTACCAAGGACCAGCCAGATAGCTCAGTGGACTAAAGCACCACCTTAGGCAGAGCCCAGGGTCCGGGATTTGATTGCTGGCACCAAAAGCCGTGCCAGCCCTGCCCCCAGGGCATGCTGAGATGGTGATTGAGACTGGGTATTTTGGCAGATACCTGTAATCCCAGCTCTTGGGAGCCTAAAAACAGAAGGATCACTATGAGTCTGATCTAGGTAATGAGACCCTGTACACCCTGTACTAAATAGAAGCGCGTACCTGGCAAGCTCAAGGTCCCAAGTTCAATACTCCGTGCCACAAAAAAAAAAGAAAAGATTCCTTGGCAAAAATAATTCTCTCGGGGGCCGGGGAGATGGCTCAGTGGAATAAGCACTTCCCTGGTAAGCGCAAGGGCCTGAGTTCAATCCCCAGTTTCCGCAAAAAAATAACAATAATAATAATTCTCTCAGTACATGAGAACAATGTATCTCCAGATATGATAGAAAAGTATAAAATTCATGCTGCTATACAAAAGAATCCAGCCCAAGAGAAAAGTCAAAAAGTCATCAAAGTTAAAAAGAAGGGGCCAGGGAGATGGCTCAGTGGAATAAGCGCTTCCCTGGCAAGCGCAAGGGCCTGAGTTCAAACCCCAGTTCTGCGGAAAAAAAAGTCAAAGATATAGCCATCCCCAAATATTCCTAAAGATATAGTGACTCAAATAAAAGGAAGTATCCTCATGGAGTTGAGAGGACTACTGAGGACTAAACAAACTTTTCTATAAAGCCAGGCATAATGATGCCAGCCTGTAATCTCAGTACTCAGGAGACTGAGATGGGAAAACTGCAAAAAGTTCAAGGCCAGCCTGGGCTACATATTAAGTTCAAGGCCAGCCTGGAATACACAGTGAGAACCTGTCTCAAAAAAAAACTCTGAAGCAGTTCTGGGCATCCTCTTTTGTGTCTTTAGTTGTGCTGTCATGGCTGCCTTGATGTCATGAATGGATTCAAAACATTTCCTTTCATGGTCATTTTGACTTTGCAGAAGAAGTTACATGGTGCCAGATCTGATATATCAGAGGATGAAGACTCACATAATGTTTTTACAAGCCTGTCTTCTTTTTAGATGGCACTAGGTAGCATTACTCGCTACATTTTTTTTTTTTTATCAGACTCTGTAAAGACACTCACAAAATTGAACTTACAGCAGTGTCTCAGAAAGTGGCAAGGATGGCATAAGTGTGTTCAGAAAGGGGAAGCATACTGAGGGGGTAAATGGCAATGTGTCCTTTACCGTAATATTTTTGGGGAGGATTACCAGGAATTGAATCCAGGAACCTTGTGCCAAGGCAGGCAGGCAGGCAGGCAGCGCACCACTGAGCTACATCCCCGGCCCCCAAAGTGAACATTTATTTATTTATTTATTTATATTTTAGTACAGGGTCTCACTACATTGAGATCAGACTCACAGCGATCCTCCTATTTTCAGCCTCCCAAGCGCTGGGATTACAGGTGTGTGCCATCACACCCAGTCTCACTTGCCAGACTCAGCGCACTCTGGGGGTGAGGCCCACAGAGCATGCTAAGCTATCTTCACTCCACTGAGCTATCTGGCCGGCCCTATGAATTTTTAAATTTAAACATTTACTGTACATTTCAACCATACTTTGCACAACCACTACCATGGGAAATTTCCAATGTTTTACTTCCTTCTGTTTGCTTTTCAAGTTGAAACTGCATAGTGTTCTGCTACAGTCTCTATATGGACACTACACATAACACTGGAAACACACACAGCACTAAAAATGTTACAATGCACTTGTCACTGTCCAGCATATAACAAGCACTCAACATATACATCAATCTGAGATTTTTTTGGGGGGTGGGGGCTGGCTCAGGCTGCCTTAAGGGCGGGTCTGGTAAGGCAGGTGGAGGTGGGGATCGAACTGCGGTATTCTGCGCCTGCATTTGCACCAGCAGGCGCTTAAACTGAGCTAAACGGCAGGCCCCCCAATCTGAGATAGTAAAAAAGAAAAAACAACTTCACAGAAGAGAGACCTGACCTGGGCCCTGATGAGCCCAACTTTGTGTCAAGTACTTTAAAGGGATTATCTCATTCATCTTCACAATGATCGTAGGAACTCGTGGGTCATTACTCCATTTAACAGACAAGCCCAAGGCACAAACTGGCTAAGTCGTTTTTCCAAGATCACGCAACAAACTGGCAAAATGGAAAGCAGAAGAGGCTTAAGGAAATCTAGCAGCCTGAATACACAGCACTTGTAGCTGATGGGAGTTGGGGGCGGCCATTCTGAGCCAAGGGCCACCTTCCCACGAAAGGAGGCGAAATAGGACTCAATACAGGACTTAAAAAGATCTAGCCCTTGTTCATCTGACCAAGTGATGACAGCCAGCTGGAAGAGAACGGAAAGTTCACCGACACCCGGGAGACAGAAACCTGACAGTCGTAGAAGCGGGACCTGACGTGGGAGGAGGGATCAGACCAGAACCCCAAATCAAGTCCAGCTTCAACAATCACCCTATAAACACCAACTAAGATCTCCCCTAGCACTTGGCTTACTACTCCTCCGTGGAAGCATTAAGTTTTTAACTTTTGAACAGGGGTCCCACGTTTTCATTTTGCACGGGGTGCAGCAAGTTAGGCGGCCGATCTTGCTCCACAATAACCTCTCCCCTTTCACCAGATAGGAACCGGTTATGGAAAACAGCCACCTCCTTCCCGAACCAGCCCCACACGTACGCACCAATCAAACTTCCCTACTTGGTCTTCATAAACCGCGACCGCAGGGACAAGCAGCACAACCCAGAGCCACAGCCCGGAACCCAGCACCGCCGCCATGACTGAAGACCCAAGAGTCTTTGCGCCGCCCCGGCATGCACCGGGCCGCAGGCTCCGCCTCCCTGAGCTGCGACCGAGCGAGAGGCTTTTGGTGAGCGTCGGGCGCCTCAGCGGCGGCTGAGACTCTTGGGAAGTCTTCCCTGCCACACGAGAGAAAGCGCAGGCGGCGGCCTGGCGGAGACGGCCGGCTCACAGCTCGGATTGGGTCAGGCGCGCGCGAGGACAGCTCCGAGGGCCTTCCCAGAGGCCCCCGCGCCGCCGAGGTCCTGACGAGCCACACCGCCTTCCGGCGCACGTGGTCTCGGCGCGATGCCCAAATCCAAGCGCGACAAGAAAGGTGGGCGAAGGGGCCCTGGGGTCCCGGCGGGAATCTCCGTGGGCTGACCGCCTGGCCCTCGCTACAGGCGTCAGGTAGACTGAGTCACGGAGGGGAACGTCCGGTCCTCCGTACAGAGCTCCGCGGCCACTGCGAGGGGTGGGATGGGGCGTCCCGGAGCCGGGTCGGGTCCCTGGGGCGGAGTTTTTGCCAGGCCTCTTGTGCTTCTGTCGGCTCTGTGGGGCGGAGAGATAGCTTCCCACCACCCAGACTGTGCCCGACCGACGTCGCGGTAGCCACTTTCTCCGTCTCAGCCCCAAGCCACCTTCTCTCCGTTTGTATCTCAGCTTCCCTCTCCTTTTTTCAGCACTATGTTGGTTCCGCGTCCGGTAGTAAGACCTTCAGTCCCTCTTGGCAAGCTTGTAACCCGGAATACGGTCTCAGTTTGCAGGGCAGCTCCAAGGTTGCCTTTACTACGGTGCTGTGGATCTCGTTCTGCATCTGTAGCGCATTCAGCAGATATTTAGGGACCTGACAGTTTATAGGCAGCGGAAGACACAAAACTTAAAATAAGGAAGGACTGCATTCACGTAGCTTTTTATTCGGGAAGTACTGCGTACCCCAACCCCTAGTTGAGTAAATTCGTGACGGGTAGTGATGAGTTTCAGAGAAAAAAAAAAAAAAACTGAAAAGAAAATGCAGGTGATGTTACTTAAACGTGGTCAGAAAAGGTCTTCCTCGATGAGGTGACAAATGAGCCAAAACCTGAGGAAAGGAGGTGAGCGACCTGTGGAGTTATCTGAGAGAAGGTTGTTCTAAGTTGGAAAACGCAGTGCGAGAGCCTAAAATGAGCATAGGTGAAGTGTTCTGGAACTACCTGTAATGCCTGGAGCAGAATGATTAAATAGGAGGAGGAGGGAGGGAGGGCAAGGCTTCAAGGCCTTTGTGAGGAAATGGGTAGACATGCTAGTCCTTGGAGAGAGGAAAAAAATAGTATAAAAGAACAGTGTGGTTTAACTTTATGTTTAACTGGTAATGTTTGAGAATAGCCTAAGGAAGATGGGACGGGGGCAAAAATGGAAAGTCAAAGCCAGCAGCAGCAACCCAGGAGAGATATGTGGGCTTTGGCTAGAGTCACAGCCACGGAAACAATGGAAGAGACCAGCTGTTTGCCCTCCTTTGCTGCCTCTGCCACTGGCTGGTGTGATTGCCTTGACTATGTGTGGCTTGTGAAGGAGGCCACTGGGTATCCAGGCCACTTCCTGAGAGAACCTACTGCTTTATATTTGGTGCTCTGGTAAGAGCATGTGGATTAATTTGATTCTGTGGAGGGAGTCCTAGCCAGGTCTGGCAACTACCAAACTGGGGGGATAATTGGGCCCCTGTAGAGGTCCTTGTCCCACTACAAAGCAGCAATATTGCATCCATGAGTCCAAATTGCAGTGTTGAAACACAGACAGACATACAGTGGGAGAAAGATGGTTCCCAACTTGCATTGCACAGCATGGAAGCCCTTAGTGGCTTCTGCCTACCATGGCCAAGAGCAGAAAGAAACATGTCTAGACCAGCAGGCTAGAGCTCCCACAGAAAGCGCTTCAACAGAAAGGGCAAGGTCTGCCCCCACACTGCAGTAGGTTCAAGGTCAGCTGCAGGGCTAAGGAACACTGGGTTTGTGTAAGTGGCAGGAGAGACAGCCAGGGATCTCCACACCTAGGAACACTAGACAGTAATTACATTGTGGACCCTGGGAGTGGCGTTGTGTGCCAGAAGTGATGATAGCCACAGCCTTGCTGCCCTCCCTCAGCCTGCCTTGCAGCCGAGCCATGAAAGGGGGAAATGAAGGAAGTCTGCAGGGTACCCAGACTCATCTCTCATTTCTTTCTTCTTTGTATTAGTTTCCTTAACGAAAACTGCCAAGAAAGGCTTAGAACTGAAACAGAACCTGATAGAAGAAGTAAGTGTGGGCTGCTTTCATTGGGGTAGGGGGAGTTAATATGTAAGTAGAAGCTGCTGGTCCAGCCTGGTCCTTTCCTCCTGTTAACAAGCATAACACCATAAAAACTCGTGATAGGAGGATCTCCAGCTGTGATTGAAATCTTGGCATGTGCACTGCGCGGCTTCGTGTTTTTTCACACCTTCCTCCTCGGAACTCTGACATAGATAGGAGCTTCTAAGTAATGTTATTGCTGTTTTGCAGTTGGGGTAACTGAAGCTAAGCAAGGTTTGTAGCTCTTCCAATGTCAAAGGCTAAGGAGTCTTAACAGGCACGATGACTGCTCTGATGACCCAGCAGCCTCAGTTTCAGGCTCACTGAGAGCAGAGTCACCTGCTGCACAAAAATTCCATCCCTTAAGAATAGAATCATGGGCTGGCAAGATAGCTCAGCAGTCTAAAGCACTTGCTTAGGCAAAGTGCAGAGACCTTGTTTCAACCCCTAGCACCCCGTGTTGCACCAGCCCTGTCCCTAGGGCAGGCTGAGCCAGCCACAAAAAAAAAAAAAAGTCACACCTCATTGTGGCTTCAGCTAGTATCAGCACCAGAGCAGTCCTTTGAACCAGTTCCCCTTAGCAGATAATGAGGTGCCAGTGTTTCCATTTAGCAGACGCCACGGATGTTTCTAGTCCACAGCTCTACAGTGAGTGGACCAAGCAAAGCAAAAGGAAGTGACTAATTGCACTATTTAGTGGGGTAAGTTAGACACCAAGGACAGGCATATGGTCCAGCTTCCCCTGTACTTAGTGACTTTAATGTCAGTAATGGCAGTGAAGAGAACCAGATTAAAGGCCTAGAGCAGCTTCTTTCCCATCTGGGGCACAGTTGCCCAGCCCACAGTGTCACTTAAACTCCAGAGCCTCATGAATTGTCCCACAGCTTCGGAAATGTGTGGACACGTACCAGTACCTCTTCATTTTCTCTGTGGCCAACATGAGGAACAGCAAGCTGAAGGACATCCGGAATGCCTGGAAGCACAGCCGGTGAGTGGGCAAGAAGAAGGACCAGGCAGCTCTCTGCCAGCACAATAAGAACAGTGTCTGACCCTTTGGGTCCCTGGGTCACATAGATGGCACGTTAACAATGGTAAATGCTACCTCTACAGATGAGTACTTTCTAAACGTTAAAGATGGCCTTGTGCTGAACTCTAGAGCTATAGAAACAATGAGAAGATAGGACTTGATAATTCCTCAGAGGATGTTTGACAGTTGCTTCTTTTGTGAGAAGTTGCCCTTGACCCTGGACTTTGAGCATTATGCAGATTCAGAATGTCAGTGTGGCATCTGCCAGACCAAGGTCAAGCTATGGCAGATGGCTCTGGGGTCGGGCTGTTGCTGCACCAATTCTGAGAGAAATTGTTACATGATGCCCACGATGTGGGCTGGCAACAAAATGTTACCTGTGTCAGATTCTGAGGGTGGACAAAGAATGAAAGGAAACCTAGGGAGGCCTGAGCTGAGACAGAGAGGTGGGCTTCATGGGACGTGGAAGTCTCTGGATACAGCTGCCACATGTGGGTCCAGGCTTACTGGGCCCTGGGGCTGGTTGCAGTTGCCTGAGGGAGAAGTGAGGCGCTTCTATTCATATCCTTTCTCTTGGCAGGATGTTCTTTGGCAAAAACAAGGTGATGATGGTGGCCTTGGGTCGAAGCCCAGCTGACGAGTACAAAGACAACCTGCACCAGGTAAGCCACTCTGGAGGGGCTAAGGCCAGCTGTCTTTTCTACTGCTCCTACGTGGCCACCCTGGCTAACAGCTCTGGGTTCCCCTTAACCTCCAGACCCAGGGAATTGTACCCTTATGTGTCACCCCCTCCACCCCTCTTTTTTCTCTGATAACTGAAAATGTCTTTAGACAGTACCAGATGTACCCTGTTGGAGAGAACCATCCTCAGTATAAAATCAGTGCTCACTTTTGATTTACAGGTCAGTAAGAAGTTGAGGGGTGAAGTTGGCCTCCTTTTCACCAACCGCACAAAGGAAGAGGTCAATGAGTAAGTCTCCCTGCGGAACGGAGGGGAGAAGATGAGAGGATTCCAGGACTAATGCGGGGACTGCCCAGTTTGCCACATGAACTTGGAACTGACTCCTAGAAGCCTCTTACTTAGAGCAGTGAGCTGTGACCCTCTAGTGTCTCTGCCCTGGTGCTCCAGCCTGGCCACCAGCCTGGGGAGGCCTAGAGTCACACACAAAGCACTCACTAGGGGCTCAGTTTCAGTTGGCTGGGGGTTCAGGAACCTCCCCTGTCACCACTTGCTTCCCTAAGGTGGTTCACAAAATACACGGAAATGGACTTTGCCCGAGCTGGGAACAAAGCAACTTTCACCGTGACCCTGGATCCAGGACCTCTGGAGCAGTTCCCCCACTCCATGGAGCCTCAGCTGAGGCAGCTGGGACTGCCTACTGCCCTCAGGAGAGGTACGAGTAGACCCCAGAGCTGAAAGGTGGCAGCCTAGAGCCCAAGACCACAGGCTCCCAGGCCCAGCCTTCCTGGTTGAGCACCTTCTACAGGCCCCCGTTTTCTCATGTGAGACAACACCCAGCTCATAGCTTAGATGGAAGTGGAGAGTGTCAGCCAGAATGCAGTACTAAAGGGACACTGAAGTGGTGACCATTGCCCACTGTGAACAGCTGTTGGGACAGGCAGCCACCACATGCTTCCCAACTCAGGACCATAGCAGCAAGTACTGTGCAGGCCTCTGAGCCAAAAGTAATTTGGCTTACCATTCTACAGGTGTGGTGACCCTTCTTTCTGACTACGAGGTGTGCAAGGAGGGTGATGTGCTGACCCCAGAGCAGGCCCGCATCCTGGTGAGTGCGGCCTTCCAGGCCTCTGGTGGGGGACCTCTGCCCTTCTCTGGCCAGCACTTCTGATAATCCGCATTCCTCTTGTGTCCCTCCGCCTCTTGCAGAAGCTCTTTGGCCATGAGATGGTCGAATTCAAGGTGACCATCAAGTACATGTGGGACGCCCAGTCAGGAAGGTTCCAGCAGATGGGAGAAGATGACTTGCCAGAGAGCGCACCCGAGTCTTCAGAAGAATCAGAGTCAGAGGGGGAGGACGACTGACTTAGACTCAGGACCAGAGTCTCCCAGCCTGTGCTCATCCCCCCGGAGCACAGGACTGTGGCCACCTTTCAGAGAGAGCAGCTATTTATTTAGTTGTGGATAAGGACAAGGAAGAGTAATGGGGACTGTTTCCATAAATAATGAAATTTTGTCTGCAGGTGTCTCCCTGTAGACAGCAAGAGACTCTTAGTGGGGGAAAAAAGACCTTTAAAAATTTAAAAAAAAAAAAAAAGGGCCAGGGAGATGGCTCAGTGGAATAAGTGCTTCCCTGGCAAGTACTGGGCCTGAGTTCAACCCCGGGTTCCGCAAAAAAAAAAAAAATTTTTTTT